ATCACAAAGTCTCCATTTCCTTCATCATCGGATGACGAAATGACAATGGCGGAGTTCCGCTTGCCTCTCCCCATCCCGGCTAGAGGATGAAATCAATGCGGCAGCGCACGGCTACTGTGATGTTGGCCTGAACCCTAGGCTGCAAGGAGGTTGAACCCCGGGCAGAGCTGAATGGTTTCGTACGAAGAAAGCGGGGTTACTCCGTAATACGGAGTTCGCTGTTTAATTTAACAAATGACGGCATGGTGTACTAGACAGACAAGCCATGCCTTATGAAGTTCTGCGCGTTTGAGCGGGTAAACTTGTAAAGTTTCTTCTACTTTGCTTTTTCCCGATAAAAATAAAAATATAAGTAGAATATCAAAAAAAAAAAAAAAGGAAGTAGAAAAGGCAGTATTTTTGGTGCTTTAATCGACTCATATAATCAATTTAGGCTTTGTTTGCAATCACTTCTGCTTAAATAAAAGCACTTTTGAGGAAAAAGTGATTTGTAGTAAAAGTTGATAGTGTTTGGTAAAATAAGTGTTTTTTGTGTAATAGAAAAAGTAAAAAGTAAATTCTACACGGAAGCCGAGAAAGTAAAAGTTGGTAGTGTTTGGTAAAATAAGTGCTTCTTTCTTAAAAAAAAGTTAAAAACACTTGTTTTAATGGGTTGCAAACACACCCTTATAAGAAGGTGGAGGGATCAACTTTTGAAAACCGATTCTAATTCTGCTTCTGTTTTACAAAAGAAACATCAGCAATCGGTTCTAAACACTCCATAGTATGGATATTTTTGACATTTAGGTGTTTTGAAAATTTCATGTTTTACTTGGATTGTTTTCAGTCACAGATCAGACCAGACTATACTTAAATAGATCAAATCATATCAGATTAGACTTAACTGGACAAGACAAGACTTAAACAGACCAGACCATCAAATTACCGTCCAAGTAAAAAACATCCTAATTACAATACCACTTGTGTATTATTCGTTTCCTTTCTTTTTGAAAGGATATTACTCGTTTCCTTAAAGACATGCGGGGTATTACTTTTTTAAGAGTTCCTTCTAAATCTATTATAGCACTCCGTATATGCTCTTGTTAACGTAACATCCTTTATTATGAGACTCGAACTTGCGACCTCCTCTTTGGAAGATCAGCAGTGATGCCATCAGACCACAATGTACTTGGTCGGGGTATTACTCCTTTCTTCAATAATACTCCGTAATAAATTATGGAGAATTAAAAAACTTAATTTGAGATTTTCCATTTAAATTATAAACCTAAATTTTCTTCAAAAAAGTTTATAAATTTAAGTTATAATAATAAAACTTAATTTGAGATATAAATTTTATTATATGCATCTACGTTTTTAATATTCTTCCCCATATGCATATTAACTCCAAATATTCTCATGAAGAAAAAAATTAAAAGTTCAATTTACATCCTCCCAGCTAGCTGTCCGATCGGTGCTGGGGGGTCTCGGAGATGGGGTGTCATCCTTTTTCATGAAGAACCAAATTGGCCACCTTAAATGCTAATTGTAAAGCCACCAAGAATAGCTATTTAGGTAATTAGTGTGAAAATGATGAACAAAAAAATATAGAAGTTTGAAAGAATGATCCGAATAGTAGTTCCAGCTATCAATATGACAAAAATAGGAATATTCTCCATCCAGACGGAAAAGAGACTATAATTAAAATGAAAAGACTAAAATAACCCTCATATAAAACCCATATGTGGCCCAATCCTTTCAGCCAACTCTTTCACACGCCCCAGACATTAATACCGCCATAGTTGTCACCACCGTCCAGAGTCGTCGCGGTCGCCGCCCCTTCCAATGCTGTGGCGGTTGCCGCCCCGTCCTATACCTCGGCGGTCGCCGCCCCCGTCCTGTTCCGACTCTTCCAATTTCACGCCATCACATGTATGTATCTGTTCTCTTTCCTCACGCCATCGCGATTGATCTGCACCTCCACGAAAATCTATCCTATGGATTCACGGTCGCAAACGGAACAAAATTAAAGAAGAGGGAAGGTGGCAGCGGTGGCGTTCGAATCATTGGCGGCAGAACACCTATGTGTTTAGATCTAGTAGCTAGGGTTTCATCTCAGCAGCGGCGGCGGCATCAAGCTTCACATCTAAGACCACGGTGTAGGTCGGCGGTGATGCAGAGTCTTGACTTTCTAATTAATGTCAATTTGGAAGATGGGGTAGCTAAGGTCCAGGGATTGGGGATGAGGCTAAGTCTGGGAGGTGGTTGAGGGCTAAAGAGGGGTGGGGGATCGAATCGAGGTGGGGCGGTGGTCGGAGGTGGTTTCCAGTGGTGGTCGGCGGTGGTTTCCGGCGTTGGCGGTCGGTGGCGATGTCCGACAGTGGTGCTAGTAGGGTATGGAGGTGGTCACTGAGCTCTGGATGTTGGTCACTGGACGGGTGATGGTCACTGGATGGGTAGACATTGGTCACTAGACAGGCGGCATTGGTCATTAACGGGCAGGCCTTGATCACTAAACGGGCCGATATTGGTCGATGGGCGTGAGTCACTGGACGAAAGTCACTGTAGGATTGGTCACTGTAGCGGATCAGTTGGTTTGATAAGGGTGAAATGGTCCCTTTACTCTTTTTAGTCACATTTTTGGAAATTAAAACAAAAGGTCACTTTTTTGTCCATTTTCAAATTTTTAGTAATATTCCTGACAAAACCCCTAAAAGTTTTCTTTGTTGCTAAAAGTTTTATAACTTGTATATACTTTGTTTCCAATGCGTAGACCTTAAATTTAGGTTAAATGCTCCTTTCTAGTTTTTATATATAAAAATGTTACATTTTTTACTATAGAAGTATTGTAAAGGCTCAACATAAATTTAAACCGACGAATACCAAATCCCCAATTCCCCACTATAACAACTTAGAAGTCTGAAATGTTCATTTTTAACATTTCAGATACTCCAAATCACTTTGGATCTTAATTTTAGTTTTAGATAATCTTTAATTTTTGCGCAAAGTCTAAATAATTTTTAGATAATGTTAGTAGTTGAATGATCAAATTCTAATCACAACTAGTGTTTTATCAGAGCGTTGTCCCGGACAGATGTTGAGAATATTTGAGTACTTTGTAAGATATGTTTTTTACAATATGTATATAATTAATCATTGTACTTCAAATAAATGTTTGTTCATTGTAGATAGTTTTTTATTCAAAGAGAATATATTAAAAAGTGACATTGTAATGTAACACCGCACACATCAAACATCAAATTCTTTGATTTTGGTAAACCTCGTTATAAACAACATTCACCGTCTTAGTGAAGATTTTTTTCTCTTTTGAAGGTATAAGTATCTTAATTAAGATGTCTTTGCTCATTACCTTTGTCCATTGGCTGTTAATGAAATTTATCTCTCAAGGTGTAAATCAAATTTTATGTGATAACATCTAACATTAACTTTAATTTATTGTCATTGTAAAGCTTGTCATCACATGAGATTATTTTTTTCCAGAAATTGAATAATGATGTCATATGTGACAACGGGATTCTAATTATATATGTATAGTAAACTTTATCTTTCATAGTTTTTCGAGTTATGACTTGTCGTTCTTGCTTTTCCAATCTGGTTATGACCAACCATGTTCCATTGAATCAAACTTATGCACGATTAATATTTCTCAATAACATTATTGAAGCTCCGATTTTCAATTGGAGGACATGATTAGGCAATACAACCATTGGAGCGCTATTAAGATATTCGACGGTGTACATATCAACATGGAAGGTGATACCGGCGTGTGAAGGAATAATATTAATTGAACTAAGATATGTAAAACCTATTCTAGCTATCAACAATAGTGTAGGCGCAAGCTATCATCACTCTTTCTTAAAGATACATATGCTGGTTCGCTTATTATATCACAAAAGTGATGATATGTACTTTCAACAGTAGCTATGATATAGTTATCTTTTACCTTAAAAGACAAATAACTCACAATCTCCACTTCTAAAAACTCACCATCAATTTTCTACTCTTATATCATCAACTCTGACCTTAACAACCCATATAGCAAACTCGTCAATTTTTGTTTCCTAGAGTCATTGTGATATATCGTTACTCTCATATTCTTTTTTAGAAAAAGAACTGAATGGTCTTCTTAGAGTGTGAAGAGTTAACCGACACTATAATCACATCGATTCTCCATAACTCTCTTCGAGACGATAGAAACTTTTTGTTTAAAGTCTTCTCACGAACAACAATCTTCTTTCTGAATAACATATGTTCATTTTCTACATATAAAAATTGCATGATGTATCTCGGTGTAAGGTCTAAAACTTTAAAACAAAGCTCGTGAATCATCATAGCTTCATCCCATATAATCAAAGACGCGACAAGCAACAATTTTTCTTTCACACTTCATTAGCTTGATGAATACTGCACATAGAGTGTGTGACAATATTTATGAGAATATAATATCAAATGATGAGTTAAAATTTGCTTTTAAAGTAGAAGATGTATATGGAGTTTATTTATATATATTTAACATATATGACCAATAATTACTTGCACTTTGCATTTTCTACAAAGTTTTAGACCTCAACATGTCTTGTGATTCCATCGGTTGGAACAAAATGATACAAAATCAATACTTATACTATATTTGTTCAAATAAAATTTCAACATGTTAATCACATGTTATACTTTGACTGTAGTTTACTACCTCCGTCCCACTATGTTTGGGACAATTCGGTTTGCGGTGTTTGACTGACGATAAAGAAAACAAATCTATGTCCACACTCAAATTATTTTTAGAAAAAAAATACATATTCTGAAACTATAATAGAAACAGAAATTGCCCTAAATAGGAGTACAAACGTTTTGAAATTCGAAAATAGGACTATCATGTTTTTTATTCCTTGAATAGGAGTAATCTGCCACGTTTGGAAATAAATGCCATGTTTAAAGCCTAGTAATGCCAAACTTGGCAGAAATTTACTCATATTCAGGGAATAAAAAACATGATAATCCTATCTTGGAATTTCAAAACATTTTTACTCCTATTTAGGGAATTCTCTCTATTAGAAACTTTACAAAGACGCAAAAACCAGAATCAAATTTGATAAAAAATTTGATATATAAAGTAAGAGATTAAGAGTGATTTGTGTTGGCCAAGTGAATAGTGTCTGAGACAATCTTAGCGGGACGGAGAGAGTATTTATTAATGTAGTAAAGATTTTTTGAAAATTAATGTTCAACTCTTCTCAATTTAAATTTCCAAAAATCTCATTTTTGAATTTTTTACTTATAACGAATTATATATTAATAATTAAAGCAGTTTGTTGATTAATGTGAAAATGGAAGTGTTGTAATTAAAAAAGAATGGGAGAAAGTGTAAAAGAGAAACTTATCAAAAACATACAGTGTGTCAGTGTGTCATACAAGCGTGCAATGTCATTATCATAACTACATCGGTCTCATTCAAAGCTTCTCCGCTCGTCCACTATTCTCCAGTTAATGTAAAGTCTTCTTAATCTTTTATGTTATATATCCAACTTTTATCAAATTTGAGTTTTTTCTTTTATAAATTTATAAAACTTTTAATGCAATTTCTGAATATGTAAATTTGATTTACTAATAAGTCTAATCGAATTTATGGTCAGTCAAGCATCGTAAATCACGTGGAACCTTTGTACAAGATGGAGGAAGTACTTCTTATTATATTATACTTTATCAGTGTTATTTCAATTCCTTAATTTGAAAATCTCAATTTTTAGTTTTTTAATGCTTCTCCTATTTTAAGCGGGATTTGAAAGAAATTTGTATTAGTAAATGTAAAATATCAATTTTGAAAATAAATGATAAAATACTACGTATCAAATAGTATTTAATTATTACCTCTTATGTTTCGAAAGCACTGACAATCTTATAAGGAAAACAAATCACTTGTATAAAACTCACGTGATTTTTTAAAATAAAATTTACATCATTTTTAAAATAAATATAAAATTCACTTGATTTTTTATTTGATTTATTCTTATATTTTTCTTTTTTTTTAAAGAACTATTATCATTAAAAGCAACTTACTATTGTAGAATAAAAAATTACTTTGCACATGTAAATATTCACGGAGAAGAAATTAAATCAGTTGAGTTACTGTTTCAAGGAAAGTTGTAATGGGTATATTTCAATTGAACTAATGATTCTATCATATTATTGATCGTCCAAGTATCACACAAGCTTGAAATATAGTATTAGTATATAAATAAATTGAATGGAATATATGAAAAATACAAATATTTCAAAATATATATATTTCCTTGACAGAATATACAAAATATTTCCAAATACCAAATGAAAGCTTTTCAAATTATATTTGATTTTCTAGAACCAACAACCAACTTAATAAAGCATTCAAAATATGTACTGAAATTCAGCATTACAAAATATTCCAAATATACATATTCTCTATAAATGGAATGAATACAACATATTTCTTTCTCTGAACGAAGACATCAATTTTTGCTCTAGCGGTTTTTAAAAATGGCTTTCATAAAAGGACAGGAACCGCATTCTTATCATTTTCCATTTCCAAAACATAAAAGTCGGCGGGAAGGATCAAATTGTCGACCATAACAAGTACATCTTCGACAATACCCTTAGGGTAAGCATTTGATCTATCCGCATGTTGAATGACTACCCCGGTTTCATTTAAAGGGCCAAGCTCAAGTGATGTATACAAAGAATAAGGAATGACATTAATTGATGGTCCTAAATCTAGCATGGCCTTTGAAAACGTGGTACCTCCCAACTTACAAGGTATAGTGAACATGCCCGGGTCATTGTATTTCTTTGGAAATTTCTTTTGAAAAACCGCCGAAACACGTTCACTAAACTGGACTTTTTGTTTTCCATTGAGTCTATGTTTCCTTTTGATTGTACATAGCTCTTTGAAAAATTTAGCAAATTGAGGAACACCTTTTATCAAGTTAAGGAGAGGAATATTTACCTCACATTTGGAGAATGTCTCGTAGATGTCCTTGTCTTTCTCCACCCTTCGTGTTTTCCCTTAGAGCCTCGGGAAAGGGTGCTTCAACTTCATGGATGACCAGTGGTGGAGTTGATATATGGACTTCCTCCTCCGGTTGAGCTTTCTACACAAGCCCCTCCTCTTCTTCCTCTTCGCCAATGTGGCTTCTTGATTTTTCCTTGGCAATGACCAACTCTTTGTCACTCCTCAATGTCACCGCATGGGCTTGTTGCCTAGGATTTGGCTCCGTTTGGGATGGGAATTTTCCCGAATCCTTGGCCTCGAGCCTACTCACCGCACTTGAGATTTGGCTCATTTGGTTCTCAAGATTTTGGATGTTTGATTTTGTCTCATGTTGAAATTGAACCATGTTTTGTTGCATGGTTGAGACATTTGAGGTGAGTGCTCAAATCATGTATTCGATGGACATATTTGAGCTTTGGCCTTGGGGATTAGAGTACGGTTGTTTTTTAGGAAATTGATTTAGTGGAAGGTTATTTTGTGGTGGATTCCCTCGAGGGTTACCATATCTAAGGTTGGGGTGGTCTCTAAACCCGGGATGATAAGTATTGCCATAAGAATCATACCTCTTTTGGTTTGGGAACTCCAAGGCGTTGACTTGCTCGAAGTTGTCTTCTTGAAGAGTTGGGCATGAGTCGGTGGGATGCCCTTATTGTGTACAAATGCCGCAGACTTTGACTTATTGGGTCTTGGAATTTAAAAGAAAATCCTTAACCAAAGAAGTCAAGCCGGCAACTTGACTTTCCAACGAGGTGTTGGATTCCACTGCCATTACTCGCTTTGATGATGACCTCCCGTTGTAATGTCTCGAGTTTTCGGCAAACTCTGAGATGGATCTCTTGCTTGAGAAGAGGTTTTGTTGACGATTCCCCCTCCACATGCGGCGTTGATCATTTGCCTGTCATCATTGCAAAGACCATCATAAAAGTATAGGATGAGGTCTTGCTCCGAATAGCCGTGGTATGGACAACTTGCACAAAGTTTCTTGAGTCGTTCCCAATATTCATCGAATGATTCATCATCGTTTTGCTCCACATTGCTAATTTGCTTTTTGAGAGATGAGGAGACGGAGGCGAGATAGTACCTTTCGAGGAAAGCTTTCTTCATGGCCGCCCATGTACCTATACTTCCTGAGGGAAGATAGAATAACCAATCTTTTGCGGTGTCTTTGAGGGAGAATGGAAAAGCCCTCAACTTTATTTGTTCCTCGGTGACTCCATTGGGGCACATGCTTGTACAAACAACATGGAACTCCAAGAGATGTTTATTAGGATCCTCCCCTCTTAAGCCATGAAAGGAAGGAAGTAGATGAATGAGCCCCGATTTGAGCTCAAATGTATTACCCACATCAAGAGTTGGGAAGGTAATACATAGTGGTTGTTGGTTCAAGTTTGGAGCTGTGAGCTCCCTCAAAGTTCTTTTTTCATTAGCCATGTGGAATGGCTCTTCAGATTCGCTAGAACTAGAGCTAGCGTTTGAGGATTCCTCCGAAGGCGTGTGCGGAAATAAATTTCTCAACCTCTCGAAGGCTTGTTCTATTTCGGGGTTTGCTTTCTAAGTGATTTCGTTTATTGAACGACATTTGACCATACACTTCACAAAGCTCAGAAATAGAAAAATAAGAACTCTTTATATTTTGTTTATTTTATACTCCCTCCGTTCTCTAATAGATGGGAATATAGCCTTTGGCACAAGATTTAAGAAGGAATTAATAGGGGTAGGAGAAAAGGTATAGTGGGTTCAGGGTTGTGTGTAAAGGAAAAAGTAGGGAAGAGAATGAAAAAGTAGGAAAGAGGATGAGGGTAAATGAGTATATTTATTGAAAAAACTTACCAAAAATGGAAAGGGAGACAATTAATAGAGAACATCCCAAAACTGAAAGAGGGCCAAGTATTAGAGAACGGAGGAAGTATTTTTTTTTGTTTTTCTTGAATTAAAAGAAAAAGAAATATTATTGCCTTTCCCCGGCAACGGCGCCAAATTTGACGTGCACTTGGTCGTGGTGCGCTCTCAAAATAATATAATAGTGCACCACAAGTATACGTAGTATAATGAAGTAAGGTTCGTATCCACATGGAAATGAACACTTTTCTTTTATATAAATGGTAATAAGTTACGGCGGGTTAAGATTGTTTGGTGAACTTTAATTATATTTTGAACGACTTATGTGGTTTACTTAATAGAGATGAAGACTTGGATTTGCTTTTATCCACTTAATGAAATGTTCGTGGATCATGGTTATATCTTTAACTATCTTCTCTCGAATACTCAATCGAGGAGTATATCTAGTTCATCGAGGGTAGTTATTAATAACGAGACACGTTCATTAATAAAACTTACTACCGAGTTAATAAATAACATGCGCCGTATATTAACCCGATAGTAGCAATAAAATCAAGATGAAAACGATTGAGATTGATAACCTCAACACAAGCAGTTTATTGGTTTAATCAATATAATTAATTCCCCTTCGGTTATTAACCATGAGACGCATGCATTAATAACCCAAGTTTACTACCGTGAAAGGACCGAATGATTAACAAGTGTATTAGTCGATCGATTCTAGTAATAATTAATATATGAAACAAAACAAGTTGATCCTTTAAGTAATGTTTAAAATATTAATATGAAGTATGAATAGGAATTAATTAATATTCAAGAAAAGAATATTAAAGAAAATAAACACTACTATAACTAATGTCAAGATGTTAACTAATTGTCATCTTAGCAACACTCCCCAACATTAATATATAGATAGATTAAAGGAAATGAATCATACTATAAGTAATGTCGAAATGTTAACTAATTGTCATCTTAGTGTTAAAACTCGGGGTTCCATCCTAAAAGGTCAACCTGATAGGAGGAGTAGCCCATGTGTTAATATAGCACTTTGTTCATCCAAACCTTTCCGGTGTGGGACATTTAACACCTCTCCTCACGACCAGACACTTTGTCTGGATCGTGCCATAATTCAATTTTTTTTCATCGGTCTGTTATTTTATCTGGCCGTAATTGTCATTTTTTATAAGGGGCCCCACACCATGGATCGATTTGGCTCTAATACCATGTTAAGACTCGGAGTTCTATCCTAAAAGGTCAACCTAATAGAAGGAGCCCATGTGTTAATATAGCACTTTGTTCATCCAAACCTTTCCGGTGTGGGACATTTAACACTTAGCAACACTCCCCAACATTAATAAATAGATAGATTACAGGAAGAATTAATATTCAAGGAAGAAGTTTAAAGAAAATAACTCACAACTTACAATTCATTAAATTTCAAAGTACCAAAACCAATATGGAAGAGTTTAGCTCCTCATTTGAAGACTAAACATGATGAAAATATGAAGAAAGAACTTATCTAAACTGAGCTTAGAAGTATAAAGGAATTGGTGATATATTGTGGAGGAAAGGGGCGTGTATTTATAGGCTTTTGGGGCTGCAGGGTCGTGTACCCAATCAGGTATATAGGGTACCCGACCGGGTATCTCCAGAACTGTATACCCGAGGTATACTTGATCGATTTCAGGGTTAAAATAACAGGCATATACCTGATCGGGTATGTCGGTGTACCTGATCGGGTATGACAATAAATCGTGGCCAAATCTTTCCCTGCGCGTCCCTTTGTTTCCTGATTTGATCTGATTGAAAGTCAAGTTGGTACCCGATCGGGTATAGGGTATACCCGACCGGGTACAGGTCAAAATCGGGATCTTTTTCCTTTTGTCTTGTATTCTTGCACCTTCCTTCCTCTTGGGGTTCATCAATGGTCACTTGAATGATCTTGGACCTGTTTTAGCTCAGAATGGTCCTAATCTTAACAAATTACAAATAATTATGAAAAATAAAGTATTATACCAAAATTGTGTAATTTCCACAACTTAACTAATAAAAACTAGTTAAAAATACAAACATGCAATTGGAAATTACAAGTGTATCAGCAGTTTATTTAGAAATTGACGCTTCATAATATATGTAAATAATATGAATTTATGACTTAATTGCAATTAATGACTATCACTAATTGAACTCAATAGCAATTATTTGAAAATTCAATTTCAATTTAAAAGGGTGTACTTTATAATTAAGCAAGTGGTATGACATCAAGGAGAATGATCCAATAAGTTCATTGATGAAACCCTACCTATATTATTGAGAGTGCACCATAATTAGGTTCAAATGAAAAACAAAATATTTTAAATTTTATGATTTTTGTGAAAATGACATATTTTTCGTTCCTTCTATGTTCACCCTCTACTTTTTATAATTTTAAAATAAAAAAATAAAAAAATATTCCACTAAAAGGATACCACTAACGGAGAATTTGTTCACAACCCATCATGTCTAATTGAGATGCTTTCATACAGAACGCATATTACAATTCTTAATATCTACGGAGGAGAGGAGTTAGCTTAAAATGGCAGCATTGGATATTATAAGGAATGAAAAATGACAGTTATTCTTTTCAACAACCGTGTGAACATATGTGAAATATTGGCATCCTTGAATCATCTAAAATTTTATTCTTTTCTTTGAACAAGTCATCTCCAAAAATGTGAGACAGCAAGTCAGCAACTATAAACAGATTTAAATGGGTTCTAATTACTCAAAGGTGTGATTAATGCAAAACAAATAAACAATATTTAAATGTTGAGAAATTCAGTCCCAATTAGGATCTAATAAAATTCATAGAATCAAGCAATAAGAACACTAATCAGTTGAGGAGAAACCAAACGTTGATGGCGTTGTAGAAGATGTTGAAGCCGTAACCATGGATGTGTGGATTCTCTAAGGATACAAGCGGATTTAGATGGATTGAACGGTCTTTCTTGGGTCTGTTAATATAGGTGTTATTGAGACCTTTGGGAAGAAACGTTTTCTTTCGTTTTAGTCGTAATGGGACGAACAAGTGTATTTTCTTGTATCAAAGAGAAATCCCTTTGGTCTCTTATGTATTATTTAAAATTAAAACATACCTACAATATGTTAACTATACATAAATAGATGGGCCAAATCTGTCATATGGCAAATTTAATGGTATGACATAAATGTCCCAAATATACATACAGAATATTAAATTATATAAATGGAATATTTTCCAACCCAAATCACAACAAAAATTTTGTAATGATCTCAAATATTATGTCACTGGGAGAAATGAAAAGTTTCATTCCAAAGTCCTTCGCAAAAAAATAAAGGGAAAACTGTCAAATAGGTCCTCGAACTTTCATAAAAAGGTCAATTAAGTCCTTCTATAGGAGGTTCTGTCCGGCCGTCGTGATTTGGGGCAGTTACCGGTGGAATTTTTTGATGAATTTTTTTGAGCATCTTATTCACCAAGTCTAGTTTACTCATACCAAATTTCAGCTAAAAATTCAATCGGGAACACATTCAAATTAATTCTTGAAGATAATTGCGCATTTTTGCGTTCTCGAATTAATTTGAATGCGCTCCCGATTAAATTTTTAGCTAAAATTCGGTATGAATAAACTAGACTTGATGAATAAGATGCTCAAAAAATTTCATAAAAAAATTCCACCAGGAACCGCCCCAAATCGCGACGACCGGACAGAGTCTCCGATAGAAGGACTTAATTGACTTTTTTATGAAAGTTCGAGGACCTATTTGACAGTTTTCCCAAAAATATATAAATCAAAAGTGCATATTTGGTACGTAAACGAGAGAAAAACCTTTTTTGTCTAACCGCACCATCTATAGACGTATGCGCTTCTTTTATACTACGTACTTAAGATTTGCATCTTTAAGTATAAAGTTAGTGTTAGCTATTGACTTTGTAATTTTAAGTCTTTAATTTAATCACTTGCAAATTTGTCCATGTGACTAGATAATCTTTGCAATTTAAGGACTCTTTAACTAGAAAGTACACTTTTCGACAGAAAAATCCGACGTCGGCGACATCTTTTCTGGTATATTATCGCCGGAAAGTATACTTTTCATTCTTACATGCATTGCAAATATCAATTAGTTATAAGACCAAATTTACAAGTGACTAAAGTTACGAAACTAATAATGAAAACAGTTGAAAGTTACGAGACGAAATTTGCAAAATTCTCCTTAAATATTTTTTTACTGTAAATATCCTAAGAACTTGTCAAAGAAAAGGATATCACGAAAATGTGTTATTTACTCATAGAGACCATAATAATACTACGTAGCTTTTAATCTTTTAACGATTACCATTACATTTAGGGGTCGTTTGGCAACACTGTTTTTTTGGCTCATCAAGCTTATCAACCAACTTTTTCACCAAACACATGAGTTTTGCTTTCGCGCGCTGATTTGTGTAATGAGCAGAAAAAGTAAGGTTGAAGTTACTTTTCTGGCTGTATTGGCTGAAGTTACTGTAGGTGACCATTTTAGCTATTTTTACATATAATTTTTCTTTATTTTATTTAAAAAATACATTTTAAAAATAATTTTTTCTTAAATTAGCAGAATCAGCCAATGCAGCCACTTCAGCCAGAACTTCATAAATTTCAGCAGAATCGGCCAAATTAAGCGATTTTCTTGATACCAAACGGGCTCTTAATTTTATATTGGAGTGATCAACAATCTGAATTTGGTAAAGTTTGATATGTTTAAGTTTGATCTAATCTTTTTAAATCCAATTTAGTCTGTTCTGATCTACTATGTGACTAAAATAAGTCCTAATAAAAACACCATTGCACGGTTGCACTCATATAATTTTGTTTTTGATTCTTCTATACTTCTAGTGCAATCTCACTAAAATTGTTTCATACCAAATTTGGGAAAATTGTGTGGTTTTAAATCATTCATACTTTATTCTTTATTAATTCAAATCAATCACACAAAATCCACTTTTCTTAATAATCACACTATTTTCTCATGTCTCAATGTTAGTGGGACAGATGTACTAGATTTTATCATACAGGCCTTATATCGACACATTTCATCTTTCACGTCTACGATTGATAATTCACACATCTTTCAGGTCCTAGATTGAAAGAATCCCAACATTTGTCATTATCCCAACAAAAAATATATCGAGACTAATGATCATATTTTTAATTGGACTTAAATTTTCAAGTCTGTTTAAGTTTGAATTTATATGGTCAAAACTAGCTTGGTCTATATGTATGTTAGATGTTGTATGCATTTTACACCTATCAAAGTCAGATCTAGTTTAATTTATTCAGTTTAAATTTGATCTGGTTGGTGTATTATGATAACAGACAGAAATTGGTCCGTCCTTTTGTGATACTCCACTACAGAGCACATATATATAACTATATAAGTATATATCCATCTATATTTCTCAGACGGTCTGCATGATAATTTGATGAGATCATCAGATATTAATTATTTAATTTCCTAGTTGAAGAATATAATATAAGTTTCTACACATAATCTCGCATCTGATAGTATAATAATCTTCACAAATACTTTGGAGTAATATAATATGGCGTCCAGGAGAATTTTGAAGGAGCTTAGAGACCTGCAGCGAGACCCTCCAACATCGTGCAGTGCAGGTACGTATACCTCTAACATCATCATCCTCCTGCTTGAACAAATATAAATTTAAAAAAAAAAAAAGATAAAAAGTACTCCGTAATTAATATTCATATATAAGGACAAAATTATAGGAAGTAATAAAAATCGGTATCCTGAGTAAGTCGCGCTTTCAATTAAGTTGTAAATATGTGCCCCGAAAAGGTTCGTCATATTGACTTTTCTTAGTTAATATATGTACCATCGGTATTCTTAGTCAATGATCACAAATTTTGGACAATGATTTTAATTATTATATACTCCGTATGTAAATAATTTATCAATTTTACTCCGTATATTTTTATGAAATTATTTCGAATAAGGAACATTTTGATATATTTTTCATATACTAAATAATTTAGTTTTAAGACTATATTTTTAGACGGATTAAGTCATAAGTAAACAACTCCTTTGTCTATCTAGCTATACATATGTGTATTTTGACATCATAAGAATTAAAATGTCAGGCCCTGTTGCACAAGACATATTTAATTGGCAAGCAACCATAATTGGTCCAAATGACAGTCCTTTTGCTGGAGGTGTTTTCCAAGTCAGCATCAATTTCCCCCAAGATTACCCTTTTAAACCTCCCAAGGTAAGAATTTAACCCAATTTATGCATCATTTGAGAATTAAATCACAACATAGCTAGTTAGATACACATTCTAGCAGGTATCCTTCAGGACCAAAGTTCTTCATCCAAATATAAACAGCAATGGGAACATCTGCTTGGATATCCTCAAGGATCAATGGAGTCCAGCACTGACCATATCCAAGGTCGATTATTTTGCTCGGGTTATTATTTCATTAATATTACAAAGTTTTTAAGGCTCGACGAATCAAATAATACTTCCGTTGCAATTTTTGCCACTTATGCGAATACGATTTGAATGATGTTGTTTCATTAATATAACATTCTACCGTACAAATTTGTTAGAATTGTTACCAGTTTCTATGTTGTGTCACAATTAATTTATAAAAATAGAGTACATGCACCTGAAATGTGGGATCATAATTGGAAGTTTTTGGGGTTAAGGTCTAAAATTTGTGTCCTGGTAATCCTTACAAACATGTATAGAAAATCGGGATGGCATGAATGACCAGTTCAAAGAATATCTATATTAGGACTATGGTGGACTAAAAATCAAGACAATTTAAAGTTTTTCTAAATTTTTTGAATAAATCTTTTCCCCATTTTCATAATTAGCTGGTTAGTCCACCCCACATATGTTTAAGCCTTGTGTACTTACTTTTCACTCCGCTTCATTAGGGATGGACCCGGTTCGGGCCGGGCCCGGTTCGGGCCTTGAACCGGCCGGGCCTCGGTTCAAGGTTTGGGAGGCCCGGAACCGGCCCGGGTAACCCCGGGTCCGGTTCGGGCCGGGCCGCCCGCCCGGTTCACGGGTCGGGCCCGGTTCGGGCCGGTCCTTTAATTTTTTATTATTATTTATATATTATATTATTATAATAATTGTTATTAAAAACAAAATTCAAGTGCATAATGTTGAAATAGGAAGTACATTTGAGAATTGAGGAAAATGTTTTACATATTGTGTATAATTTACTTAGAAAAGTGATTTGATTTAGAAAAGTGTAAGGAAAGTGATATGATTTAGAAAATTATACATATTGTGTAAGGAAAATGTTTTTAATTTTTTAATTAAGTAAAACTATTTTTACTTAGAAAAGTGATTTGATTTATAATTTACAAATGTTACAAAATAGGTGTATAAGTTGTAAGTTTGTAACAAATTAATTAATTTACATATTAATATTACATATTTTAATTTAAAAACAGCCTTTACATTTTACAAAAAAAAATTCAAGTTGTAAGTTATAAGTTTGTAACCAATTAATTAATTTGAGAAGTGCTACATATGAAGTACAAGTTTACAAATTAATTTTATTGAATTGAATTATTGAATTGATGTACACAATAATATAAAATAATTCAAGTATTTTTATTTCAAATAAGAAGTACAATTGAGAATTAGGATGCATTTAAGAAATGTAATACATTTTGAAATAAAAAATCAATCGGAATCTCCGCCTTCGGTGGTTGTTTCCTCCATAAAGTGGCGGGTGGGAGCGATGGTCATTTCTTGAGTTCTTCGTTTGGCCTTCAACCAATCATGGAAGCAAACTAGCGTCTCAAGAGAGCTCGGGCTCAACCTCGTTCTATAATCGGTTAGGACGTTGCCGGCCGCACTAAACTCTTGTTCCACGGCAACTGTTGATATCGGCATTGCTAGCACTTGCTTAGCCAGTTTTGATAAAACCGGGAACGTTCTTTCATTGTCCTTCCACCACTTAAGAACGTCAAAATCATCCTCAACTTCATAATCAACATTCAATGTTAGATAGATAGAAAGCTCGTTAACTGAGCTTTGTTCAGTAGCGGGAGTTGCTCTACTTTTTTTCATAAGAGAACCAAATGCAGATTTTAAAAGTGATTTTCCTTTAGATGAAGAAGATGTTCGCGGCATGGGAGGGGGTGCATTACCATATTGTGCATAAAATTCATTATACAATTGATGAAATAAATTACTAACCTCGTTGTATTCTTGTTTAGGGTCGATGGGATTATCATCGAACTCTTGAGTTGGAAAAAAACAATTATAATAGTAATCTATACAACTTGGCAACGCGGCAAGTCTATAACGAGGATCAAGAACAAATGCAATACCATATATATGCGGAACATGTGAATAATATTTTAAAAATTTTTGTTTCATGAAATCACAAAAATAACTAACGTAAGCGGCATCGGAAAATTCTAAAAATGCGCCGGCGAGATTAACAGCTTCAACAAAAAATTCGTTTGCGGTAGGTTTATAAACATGACTAAAAGTTTGAGTTGCGTTATTAAAATATACCAAAACATTAACAATTTTTTCACAAGTGTCGATGTCAGCCGGGTTTATAATATAGTTACAAGTTTGTCTTAAAAAAGCAGGAAAATGTTCTTTATATCTAATAAGTACTTGAATTAAGTTATAAGTACTATTCCAACGAATAGACAAATCTTTAGGAAAAGCACAATAATTGACACGTCTTTCCTTCAAATATTGTCGCCATTGCATTTTTAGTGGAGTGTTAGCCCAAATCAATTTAATTCCCCCCTTCACTACCTCCAAAGCATTTCCTAATGCCGCTAATCCATCTTGTACACACAAATTTAGAATATGACATGCACAACGTTGATGAAAAAACCTACCCATCAATGTAGAAGCACCACACAATTCACGCAATCTAGGTATAGCAGCAGTATTATTACTAGCATTATCAAAACCTACAGCAAACACCTTATCAAGCAAATTATACTCAATTAAAATACGCTCAATGAGAATATAAATATTATCAGCAGTATGACGATCATTGAATTCACGAAATGCAAGAACACGTTTATGCATATTCCAATCATCATCAATATAATGTGCAGTAAGACCCAAATAATATAAATGATGATAAGTATCCTCCCATATATCGCTACAAATACTAACACGTCCATTAAAGTTTGCGAAAAATGTTTGTAAATTTTCTTTTTCGAAGTTATATTGCCTTATAACTTCTTTTTTAATCGTTTTACGACTATAATTTCTAAATTGAGGATTTAAAGTGCCTTGAGCATAATCTCTTAAAGCAAGACTTTCGGAAAAAATATAGGGTAAATTTTCTTCAACAATTAAATGAGACATACCAGTCAAATGTTTTTGATCATCATAGGAGAAATTACCAAAGGGTTGAGAATTTGCAAACCTCAATATTTGTGTTTGCTTCCCCTTTCCCTTGTCTATTTTCGCATACTCCACAAGATGGGAGGACTTAAGATGCCTTGTGAGACTCCCGTATCCGCCAGAAGTTCCCAAGCTATACTCTTTGCCGCAATGATTGCAACTTGCGTACCATTTTTCGGTATTTTTGTCTTTCCTTTTTGTAAAATTGTTTTCAATAATAGGAGATTTAGATTTCTTACCAGTTTGGGTTGAACCGCCCTCGTCCTCCAAGTCTTGCTCATCATCCGGGGTGTCGTGAGTCCCGTCGCCCCCCGCGTCCTCCTCCGCATCGTCATCCTCGAGCTCCTCTTCATCAATGGTTGTCGGGATGGGTTGTTCTTGTGCAAAGCGTGGATCGTTTTGGGACAATAGGTTTTGTAGATGCTCGTCAGACATCATCATATCATCTCTCCGTTGGTAATCCGTTTCAAAATCATCTCGACTTTGAAAAGAAGACTCGGCCCGCGCTTTACCTTTGCCTTTGCGTGAGTTAGGACGAGTCGACGCAATCTCCCTCTTGCGGTTGCGTTGGAGATTACCCACATCTACAGAATGTCTACCACGTTCCATCTTTAAAATTGAACAAATATTAAATGATATCAAATATTTTATATGAGTACAATAGTAATAATAAAATGTGACTAAGAAAACTATTGCAAATTCGAACTAAAATATGAGTATACAAATCGAACTACTTCTAATTAATACTTTAATGAGAAATGTATCAATTAACTAAATATTAACTAGTTTGACTAATATAAATATGAGAAATGTAAAAATTAACTAGTTTTTTTTTTTACTTTAATGAGCAATGTACAAATTAACTAATATTAATATGAGAAATGTAACAATTAGGTAGTTTAACTAATATTAATATGACAAATTTAACAATTAACTACTTTAGGTAGTTTTTAAAATGACAAATGTAAAAATTTACTAGTTATTTTTACCTTAATGATAAATGTATACTTTAACTAATATTAATATGACAAATGTAAAAATGTACTACTTTTTTTACTTTAATGAGAAATGTAGCAAGTAACTAATATTAATATGAAAAATGTACCAATTAAGTAGTTTAACTAATATTATTATGACAAATGTAAAACTTAACTAGTTTTTTTTTTACTTTAATGAGCAATGTATGAAATAACTAATTTTAATATGACAAATGAAACAATTAAGTACTTTAACTAATTGAAATATGACAAATGTAAAAATATACTACTTTAACTATTTTTTTCTTTAAAGAGAAATGTAGAGAAATGTAACAATTAACTAATTTAATAGATAAATTAGAAGTCTAACAATTAACTACTATTATAAGTAATATATAATATAATGTTTATAGTATATAATATATAAGTATATTACTATAAGATGAGTAATACACTTATACTTAATACTTTAATATATATATATATATATATAAGTATATATTAACTAAATGTAATATGTAAATATAAGTAAATAACAATAGTATGTATAAAAACTAAATATCAAATAAATATGAATGTGTATAAGTATATATAGTATATATAATGTGTAAATATATTATAAGTAATATATAATATAATGTTTATAGTATATAATATATAAGTATATTACTATAAGATGAGTAATACACTTATACTTAATACTTTAATATATATATATATATATATATATATATATATATATATATTAACTAAATGTAATATGTAAATATAAGTAAATAACAATAGTATGGATAATAACTAAATATCAAGTGAATATGAATGTGTATAGTATATATACTTATATAGTATATATAATGTGTAAAGAATTATAATATGAATGTGTATAAGTATATATTTTTAAATAGATAATTAATATATAAGTAGATATAATAATTATATAAATTATATATATGTAGAAAGAATTTGGAGAAGATGAAGAATGAAGATGATTGAATATGAGAGATTTAGAGTAGAGAATTAGAGAATAGGAAGAGTTGTAGAAGAAGAGATGTAAAAAATGTAGAGAAAATAGGAGTTTAAATAGATTTTTTTTATACCCCACCTCCACCCCCCCACCCGACCCCCCACCCCACCCCCCTAACCCCCCAGACCCCCCCCCCCCCCCCTCCTATGCTCCCAACGGCTATAGAGCCGTTTGGGAGCCTTCCCAACGGCTAGGAGGAGCCTCTTCAAATTAAAAAAAAAATTAAAAATTAAAAATTTGGCCGTTGGAGGCCCGGACCGCTATACCACCGGGCCGGGTGGCCCGAACCGGTCAAGAACCGGGTGACCGGGCCGGTCCGGGCCCGCACAGTAGCGGGCCAGTCCGGTTCCGGGCCGGTTGGCCCGGCCCGAGTCCACCCCTACGCTTCATCCCAAATTCATGGATCCGTCCCTGCTAATATGATCCTATATTTTTCGTTATTATTTCTTAAAAATCACCCTTTGATGCAATTAATCAATTCCTAAGTATACTGTTTCTTGAATTTGGGACATTGCAGGTTTTGCTATCCATATGTTCAATGCTAACAGACCCTAATCCAGATGATCCCCTGGTTCCAGAAATAGCTCACATGTACAAGACTGACAGGTCCAAGTATGAAGCCATGGCTCGAAGTTGGACCAACAAATATGCCATGTATTGATCTGATGATCGATTAGGTGCCTTCTTTTAGGCCTTGCTTGGTTTGTGCTATCGTTGTTTTGTTCATCAATTTAAATAAACTTCTTGGTTGTTTATGCCCAATGTTCAATAATGGCTATGTATAGTATGAACCAAAGCTCGAATTTCTTGTGAAAAGTTACGTTATAGGGAGATCTCCCAAAATAAGACTAAATAAGGTTTGGAATTCCAAAATATGACAGTTATTTTTCTTGACGAAATATGAGTAAGATGACATTATTTATTGTCATCCAGTCGTGATTGTCAAGTAATTGCACTATTAGGCATTAAACATGACAGTATTTATTATAGTTAATGACAGAATTTAGGCTTAGACCCGGTTCGGGCCACCCGTCCTGGTACTATGCGGGCCCGGCCCGGGAACCGGTTACCGGTTCCGGGTCTAGGCCCAATTTAGGGGGGGTAACCGGGGCGGGTACGGGTCTGGGATATGTGAAATCGGCCCGACCGGTTCTGGGCCCGGTTCGGGCTTTATTCTTTTTTTTAATTTTTTTTTTAACTTTCCGGGTTGGGCTGGGTATTTTGGGCTATTTGGGCTGGTTTGGGGTCGGGGGTTAATTAGAAAAAGCAAAAAATAAAAAATAAAGAGGCCCGAGGCCCGGCCCGACCCGGACCCGCTGGCAACCCGGGCCGGTCCCGGGCCTTTCCCCAACCACAAAAGGCCCGACCTGGCCTAGGCCCGGCCCGGCTCCATGCCTAACAAAATTTTTCAATCATGACAGTATTTTTCAATCATGAAAGTAACAACTCCTATCTAGGGCAAATTTGTTTACTCCTATCTAGGGCAAATTTCCAACATTATATTATGAATATTAGAGGGTGTATATTTGCAGAAATAATGTTTTCCAGGACTGGACAGATAAATTGTTTTCCCATGTTTGGTTGGTTTATTGAGCAAATAATGGTCAATCTACAATGTTACTTACCTTAACTATTCATAATGATAGACTGCATATTTTAGCACATTAGTTATTGAATAAGTAAATTGATGCTCTAGCTATATATCATTGTTTCTGTATGATACAATTTAGAATTTCTCTGCAGTAGAACAATTTGAATTTGATAATTTGAATTTTTTCAAAATGAAAGTTACAACTTTGAGTCTCATCCAAATCTTTGACATTACCATTGAACAAATTCTATATTATAGGGATGGACATTTCAATCGAGTTTGGACAAGCCGAAATGAAGTTAATCAAACAGAAACAAAACCAAATCATTTTCAATTTAGTTTGGATTTGGCAATACTTCTTCTAAACTCTATTAAATCCAAAATCCGAATTAAATGAAATTAACTAAAATTTTAGGTATACCTATAGACACTACAAATCTTAAACAAACAAATGTTTAAGTGGTCGACATTGTCTTTTATCTCATCTCAAGCATCACCATGGAATATTGCTTCTTGTGAGGAATGGGGAACCTGACGATCAGTGGCGGAGCCACCCTTTGCCCAGTGGTGTCAATTGACACCACTGGATTTTTTTTTCTCCATATGTAGGTATATAAAAACAAATTTAAAATTTAAAATTGACACCACTGAAAAATAAAAAATTCTCTATATAGGTATAGATAATCTTTCATAAATTATAAATTGACAACATCCAACATTTAAAAAAATGGGGCTCAATTTAAAAATTTTAAAAGTTGGAACACCAAATTGAAAAGTCAGCAAAGGAGAATTGAAAAGTCTGTGCCCAAATCGCTGATTGAACTCCAACTCCCGCTGCAAAAAAAACTATTGAACGCCGTAAGTCGCAGTCCCAATTCCCAAATCGCTGAAATCGGAAACCCTCGGTCGCAGTCTGTGCCCAATGGGATATTCTCTTTGGTGAAGTTTCTTCTTTTTGTGAAAAGAATAAAATTTCAATTTCAAGTATGAATGATTTTTATGTACCTCATGGGAGAGTCCATCGCAAATTTATCCAAATCACAAACTTACATCGTTACAAAGTGGACTTGTTCTATGTTGTGGTGGATAGACAACGCGAGGAGTTGAACAATCGATTCACAGAGATTTCTACAGAATTGCTTCTTTGTGTGGCTTGCCTTAGTCCTAAAGACACTTTTTCATCTTTTGACAAGGACAAGTTGATTCGCATGGCTCGATTATATCCTTTTGACTTTTCACTGGTAGATGTTCTTGCTCTTGACAGTCAACTTGAAACTTTTATTCTTGATGTGCGCTCCAACTCTGCATTTATAGATATTACACAAGTTGGTTCTCTTGCTCAAAAATTTGTGGAGACAAAGAAACATATTGTGTATCCATTAGTTTTTTTACTTGTGAAATTAACTTTGCTTTTACCGGTGGCCACCGCAACTGTGGAAAGAGCTTTCTCAGCCATAAAGTTCGTGAAGAACAGGTTGCGCAATCGAATGGGGATGCTATGATGAATGATGCCTTAGTTACTTTTATTGAAAAAGATATATTCAAAAGTGATGACAAAGAAAAAAAGGCTAAAGGGCCAAATAGGTCCTTGAACTAACTAAAAGTGTTCAATTAGCCCCTTACATAGGAGGTTCTGCCCGGTCGCCGCCAATTGGGGTGGTTCCCAGTGAAATTTTTTAGCATATTGTTCATTAAGTCTACTTTACACATACTAAATCTCAGCTAAAAATTCAACCGGGAAGGCACTCAAATGATTTTTTGAAGATAACTGCGCACTTAAACAGCGCAGTACATTTCGGAAAATCATTTGAATGTCTTCCCGATTTAATTTTTAGCTGAAATTTGATATGGGTAAACTAGACTTAATGAAGAAAATTCTCAAAAAATCTCATCAAAAAAATTCCATCGGGAACCTCCCCAATTGGCGATGGCCGAGCTGAACCTCCTATATAAGGGGCTAATTGAACACTTTAAGTTAATTCAAGGGCCTATTTGACCCTTTAGCCAAAAAAATTGTACAACGTTTTCAAAATATGAAAACGCGTCGTGGACAGTTGTGAATTAGTACTTTAATTTTACCAATGACAATATTTGCTTTTTTGCTTTATATATGTACACATTATTATATAATATTGTTTTGCTAAATTGACACCACTGACACGAACTCCTGGCTCCGCCACTGCTGACGATGTTTGATTAACTAGTGGCCCCCTGAAGCTATGCTAGAAATTTGAGGAAATACAATTATTAAATATTACTCGTAATAAATTATGAGATAATTATTTGGATCAATCATATTTATTGCGGATACAATACTCTCATTTATTTGTGAGATACTATAGCACTCACCAAATAATACTCCGTATATGGGGAGGGTGGGCAAATTTCAAATATTTGATACCATCTATTGAAATAAATGGTAATAATGTAATAACATGCTTAAAGTTATAGGGTCCGTCCTTGTGCCATAGCTTACTCCGTAGAATATCTTTTCATGGGTCAAAAATAATCGACAACAATGGGAAAATGACTGATTAATTCCTATTTAATTTAATATATGGATTATAGGACCTATGAATATTGCTCTTTAAAAGACATCTTTTTGGACATACAAACATCCCTCAAGCTATATTAATTATATTCGATTTGAAAAAGTTTCAACATACAACCCCTAAACCTATGACTATCACACAAATATATAGTTGGAATAATAAATGGCTGCCAAAAGGATTTTGAAGGAACTTTAGGACCTGCAAAAAGACTCACCATCTTCATGCAGTGCAGGTGTATACATATATAGCAATGGAGCTAGGCATTACCCCACCTATGGACCTTTTCTTTTAGTTCATTACGTAACACATTCGGTATATGATACTACGTACATCTTTAAAAATATTAAAATAGAAAATCATACGTATGCAATGGCATTTGTTAGCTAAATCAACAGCGTGAACAATAGCTTTTTTGCCCCAATAGTAGGGTGGTGTAACTCCCGTATGAAACAATGTAACTTAGGATGTTTTACTTGGACTGTAATTTGTTGGTATGGTCTATTTAAGTCTGGTCTGATAAACATTTGATTTCTGTGTATTTTATAACTACGAAACTCAAATCCGGTCTGGCCCGATTTGTTTAAGTTTGGTCTGACATGTTTAAATCTGGCCTAATCTGGTCTGGTCAGTCTGTTTAAGTCTAGTCTGGTCTGTCTAAGTCTGGTATGGTTCAATTTGGGACGGAAAACAATCCAAGTAAAAACATCCTACATTGATCTGAAATGTAACTACAAGCAACTCGAAATGTAACTTGTTTAATACGGAGTATAAGAAATTAAACATTGATTTCTATGTAAACAATGGAAAAATAGTCTAATTGCTCAATTACTTTATGTACATAGTAAATATGTCTGGTTTTTAATATTAAGGCCACAAAAAAGTTTTCTTTTAATCTTTTTTTTTTCAAATTTCATTTTTTTTTTGCAAAAATACTGTTTTTTGTTTCAATTGCAAGGGTTTATTTTTGTTATGTAACTCATGTTATGAAACATGTAGCTCGCATTGAAGGACAATGTAACTTAAGTGTATACAAAAAGAACTTCTTGATGCAAATCCAAATGTAACTTGTGAATAGGAAGATGTAATAACTAATGCATAAAAAGATGTAACTCCATATGCTATCGAATGTAAACAATAAATATAAGGATCTTGGCTAGGAGAAAAATTATATGGATCTTAAATGCATGCAAAAATGAGAAGAGGAGGGGTCCACATTAAGGTAATATGTGGTTAATTCTTCATAATCATAGGAGCCAAGCTGTTATGGGTGGGCAAGCAGAAATATATTGTGGGCAGAGCAGACGTGAAGCTATATTATTAAAGGCCTGGTTTCTAAACGAAATCAGGGTAGCAGGTAGCTGGTGAATTAGTGCAACAAAGACTAAATTCTTCAATAGGGGTACCAAGGAATCCAATAACGTGAAGAAATAGTGAAGTGGAATGGTCAAGGTGAGGTAAATTATACCGTACACCCGGTTGTACGGTGCTCACCGTACAACCAGGTATTTTTGCAATTAATTAAAATTCCAGCGGTAAAGGTTAGGCAATCTGTCTTCCATCTCGTGCTGCCGCTGAGATCCTGGGAGTTGGAAGTAGGCGCCGATCGATTTCTGTTCATCGCTGGCTGATGTCGAATTGTGAAGGAGGTGACGCTGCTCGCTCCCTGGACGTTGAAGTCGCTTGCTGACTAATTCCAGGATCTCACGGCCTTTGTTCTCAAATTGCAGGGAGTAAGGCGCCTTTTGATCTAGAGAATCGTAGAATCGTGCACGACCTTTGTTCTCAAATAGCAGGAGGCCTATTTCCAATT